TCACAGACCGTGACAGACACTCACGTGACCCGTCACAGACCGTGACACACAGGCTTTGGCGGCCATCATAGACCGTGACACACAGGCTTTGGCGGCTATCATAGACCTGACAGACAGAGCCTGCAACCATCACAGACCGTCACAGACAGGCCCGGGACCCATCACAGACCGGGAGAGACAGGCCCGAGGCCCATCATTGACCGTGGCAGACAGGCCCGGGATCAGCACATACCATGACAGACGGTCCCGGGACCCATCATAGACCGTGACAGAGAGTCCCGGCACCCAACACTTACCGTGACAGGCAGGCCCGGGACCCATCACAGACCGTGATAGATAGGTTTCTTGGGCCATCATAGACCGTGACAGTCACGACGGGGATCCATCACAGATCGTGACAGAGGCGACCGAGGCTCATCACGGAGCGTGACAGACAGGCCCGGGATCATCACAGACCATGATAGACAGGCTTTGGGGGTCATCACAGACCGTAACAGACAGGGCCAGGACCCATCACAGACTGTGACACACCGGCCCAAAGCCTATCACAGGCCGCGACATACAGGCTTTCGGGCCATCACAGACCGTGACAGACAGACCAGGACCCCATCACGGACCGTGCGAGACAGGCCCCTGATCATCACAGACCATGACAGACGGTCTGAGGACTCATCATAGACCGTGACAGACAGACCCGGAACCCATCACGGACCGTGCGAGACAGGCCCCTGATCATCACAGACCATGACAGACGGTCTGAGGACTCATCATAGACCGTGACACACAGGCCCGGGACCCGTCGCGGACCGTGATCGACAGGCTTTGGAGGGCATCATAGACCGTGACAGACACAGGCGGGATCCATCACAGACCGTGACAGTCAGGCCCGGACCCATCACAGTCCGTGACAGACAGGGCCGCGACCCATCGCGGACCATGACAGTCAGGCCAGAGACCCATCACAGACCGTGAGAGAGAGACCCGGGGCACATCGCCGACCGTGACAGACAGACCCGGCACCCAACACAGACCGTGACAGACAGATCCGGCACCCAACATAGACCATGACAGACAGGCCAGAGGTCCATCATTCACCGTGGCGGACGGGTCGGGATCGGCACAGACCGTGACAGATAGGCCTGTAGCCCATCGCTAACCGTGAAAGATAGGCTTTCGGGGTCATCACAGACCGTCAGAGACAGACCCGAGGCCCTCACGGACCGTGACAGAGAGGCGCGGGACGCATCATAGACCGTGAGAGACGGGCCCGGGACGGGTGGGTGTGGGTGTGGGTGTGGGTGTGGGTACTTGTATCAGTAAAAATGGAAGTGACACCCACACCCACACCCACACCCACATCCACACCCACACCCACATCCACAGCCACAGCCACACCCACACCCACACCCACACCCACACCCACATCCACACCCACACCCACATCCACACCCACACCCACACCCACACCCACACCCACACCCACACCCACACCCACACCCACACCCACACCCACACCCACACCCTACACCAGTCATTACCACAGGTTGGGTGTGGGTGTGGATTTCTTTTCTTCGATCACACACACCCACACCCTTCTCTGATTCAAAAATCAAGTTCATAAATTTTCGGTTACAGATAACTTAATGAACCACTAATAGTAATTTCCTTTCCCTGTTTCAGATCAGTTCCAGATCAACTCTAGCAAATATGGCCACAATTCTGCTCAATCTAATCGATTGCAGCCAATCCCAAATCACTTTCAAGAATTGAAATTAGTGCATCCCTAACAAATATAGACTTTCTTAGTTCATTTTTTTGAACATGGCAAATTCCAGATCAATACCATAGATTACTATAATCATTATTTCTTATATGATTTCTCTGGTGACAAAAATGTTAGTTTAGAAAGAGTATTTTGGTAACTGTATCTTCATATAGAAACAACAGATTCTGAAATCAAGTTTCTTGAAAATATGTTTTTATTCAATAGTCGCAAGTATAAAACGACAATGATCATGTGCAACCCTGAAAATTTTTCTTCTCAACTTTGTTAGTATGCGCGCAAACTATTTTTAATGCCTGAAAGAAGGAAGATGTATAAAGAGACAAACTTCAAGCAACGTTCTTGCTATTAAAAGAATAATTTCTCTATTCTCAAGACTTAATGAATGGATTGATAAGAGTAAAATAAAAAGTACTGCATTTTTCATATCATAATAAAAATTCTCTATTATGGTATTTCTCTCGTTTAATGAATATGGAACTGGTTGAATTGCTTTTTAGTATTAAAACATTTCTTACAAAAAGTAGATTTGAAACTATGGAAAGTTCATAGATTATTTCTGTTTGATTTTAGAATCTTATTTAAGAACTATTCTTATTAGTATTTTTTTTATATACAATAATCATGGTAAATAATTCAACAAATCAGTCAAGAGTTCCAGAAAATGAGTTATCTTCAACAATGGAAGTAGAAAATAAACAAGAATTCAATGACGACGATCTTATTATTATATGGCTTGATGATTGTCGTAGAACTACAACAAATGATCTTATGGAAACATGTCCTGATCTCCGTGGCATAATTAATATTTTACAACTATTCGATGATGTAAATAAATGTATCGATTATATAACATCAATTCAGTCGAATATACATGTATTTCTCATTCTATCTTCTCATCAATCCATTATTTCACTTTTTCATCAATTACCACAAATTAAATTTATTTACATATTTAATATAAATAAGACTGATGATGGGAACAATTACGTAGGATTAGTCAAAGATCAGAATATATTCAATGGCAAACAATCACTTATTGAGGAATTAACTAAAGATGTTGGACAGTTGTCAAAGCACCTTTCAACACCTATGACATTTTTCAACAATGTTGATGGTAGTATTAAAGAAAAGTCTTTAAAAGATTTATCAAAAGAAAGTCAAGATTTTATGTATACGGACTTATTTCGTGAAGTATTACTACGTCATTCACAATCGAATAAAGCGAAAGATGATTTATTAGATGAATGTCGACAATCTTGTTATGATAATGAAAGTTATTTAAAACTACTTGATCAATTTAAAAAAGAATATAATGCAAATGAAGCTATTCGATGGTATACTCGTGATAGTTTTTTATATCGTTTATTAAATAAAGCATTAAGATATCAAGATTTTTATGCAATATATAAATTTCGATATATTATTAAAGACTTACATGAACAATTGAAACATTTATATTTCGATCAATCATCAGAATTAAAGAATATTAAAACTGTCTATCGTGGTCAATTAATGCATAAGAGTGAATTAGAAAATCTGCACCGAAGTCAAGGAGGATTAGTATCAATGAATTCATTTCTGTCAACAACACAGTATAAAACTACAGCATCAACTTTCATTCTTGGTGCAACTAAAGGGGAAACTGTACCAGTTTTATTTGAAATAAATATTAATGATATCAGCTCCACATCAACTCCATATGCTAATATAGAAAAATATAGCCAAATCCGAGATGAACAAGAAATCTTATTTTCAATGAATTGTGTGTTTCAGATTGATTCAGTGGAGGAATGCCCAGAAAATAATCAAACATATTTCGTTAAATTAACTTTAACTAACCAATATGAAGAAGAAAATGGACTCAAACAACTGACAAATTATATAAGAATGGAAATTGAACACGCTAATGAATTATATGCATTAGGATATTTAATGATGGAAATGGCTCACTATGACGAAGCTAAACGCTTTTATGAATTATTGCAGAAAGATTTACCATCACATCATCCACAGCTTGCAACGATATCCAACAACCTTGGAACAGTTCACTACAGTCAAGGCCGCTATGCTGAAGCCTTGACGTGTTTCAAGGAAACACTAAACATTCAATCAAAATCATGGTGTAAAGATAATTTATATATTGCAACGACGCACTACAACATTGCAGCAGTTTACCACAGTCAATCTAACTATGATAAAGCCTTAGAGTATTTGGAGACAGCACATAAGATTCTATTAGAATCCTCATCAGACAATGATCGAAACATTGCAATGATATACAATGAAATTGCAGTAATTCACCACAGTCAATCTAACTATGCTAAAGCCTTGGAGTATTTTGAGAAAACACTTAAGATTCAATCAAAATCATTGCCTCCAAATCATCGAAACCTTGCAACGACGTACAACAACATTGCAGGAGTTCACTTCAGTCAAGGCGACTATGCTAAAACCTTCGAGTATTTGGAGAAAACACTTAAGATTCTATTAGAATCCTTGCCTAAAAATCATCCAGAGCTTGCAATACTATACAACAACATTGGACAAGTTCATCAACGTCGAGGCCACTATGCTAAAGCCTTGAAGTGTTTTGATGCAGCACTTAACATTCAATCAAAATCATTGTGTGAAAATCATCCAGATATTGCCGACACCTACGACAACATTGCAGGAGTTTACTACCGCCAAGACCGCTATGCTGACGCCTTGCCGTATTTGAAGAATGCACTTAAAATTCAATTAAAATCATTGCGTGAAAATCATCCAGATATTGCTAGAACCTACAACCACATTGCAAGAGCTCACCATAGTCAACACCACTACACTGACGCCTTGAAGTATTATGAGAAAACATGTGAGATTCAATCAAAATCATTGCCTCAAAATCGTCAATACCTTGCAGCGACGTACAACAACATTGCAGTAGTTCACTACAGTCAAGACAACTATACTGAAGCCTTGAATTATTATAAGACAGCTTGTGAGATTCAATCAAACTCATTGCCTCAAAATCATCCAGACCTTGCCACGACGTACAACAACATTGCAGGAGTTTACTATAGACAAGGCCACTATGCTGACGCCTTGAGGTATTTGGAGGACATACTTAATATTCAATCAAAACAATTGCCTGATAATCATCTAGACCTTGCAACGATATACGAAAACATTACAACAGTGCACGAAAGTCAAGGCAACTATACTGAAGCCTGGAATTATTATGAAAAAGCACTTAACATTCGATTAAAACTGTTGCTTGAAAATCTTCCAGACATTGCAAGGATATACAGCGAAATTGAAGAAGTCAGCCAACGTCAAGACCACTATGCTCAGGCCTTGAGTTGTTGTAACGAAATACTTAATATTCAATTAAACTTCTTGCCTAAAAATGATCGACACATTGCAAACACATACAACAATTTTGGATTGGTTTACAAACGTCAAGGCAACTATGCTGCAGCCGTGAATTATTATGTGACAGCTCTTGAAATTCAATCAAAATCTTTGCCTGAAAATGATCCAGATATAGTAAGAACATATTGGAATCTTGGTAACCTTTACAGTTGTAGTGGAAACAAAGCAAAAGCGTTGGAAGAATGGCAGACAGCGTTGGATATTGCATCGAAGTCCTTACCATCGAGTCATCGATTGGTTGCTCGCCTGTTAGAGAAACTTGCGACTGCACGAGAAAATGAGTGATTGATGTTGAAATGAAGAATGACGAAACCACAACAGCGCGTGAGAGGAGGAATAACAGGGGCTATCCTCCCATTTGCGAATGTACAGTCTAAAATTCAAAGTTTATTAAATTAAATTATACTTCATTCTCTAATTAATTTGAATTTTTCAGATTAAAAGCGATTGAAACTGTCAAATTTTCGAGTTTTAATTCATTAAAACTCATTCCTTGAAAAGAACTTCGAAAATTAAAATCGTTTGCTTTTATTATTTAATATTTTTTTACTGAGACGAATTTCAACAGCCATTTTGTTTGAAGAGTTAAAATTTGTATAGTTCGCTTTCGTTTTCTATGCAATTTCTATATTTTAGTTTAGCATGATGTAGAGTTCGCTAGTGCTTTCAATACAAGGGTGTGGGGTGTGGGGTGTGGGATGTGGGATGTGGGTGTGGGGTGTGGCGTGTGGGGTGTGACGTGTGGGGTATGGGTATGTGGGTGTAGGTGTGGGTGTGAGTGTGAGGTATGGGTGTGGGTGTAGGTGTGAGTATTCTATTCTGTTTTCTATCCACATCCACACCCACACCCATACCCACGCCCACACCCACACCCACACCCACACCCACACCCACACCCACCCCCACCCACACCCACACCCACACCCACACCCACCCACACCCACAGCCACAGCCACACCCACACCCACACCCACACCCAGAACGAGTCAAAAAAAAAATAATTAGATTTGTATATATTGATTGTAATTTAAGACTAGTAGGTACTGTTGACTTGGAGTACACATTAACTGCTTATTTCTCACAAAACCCATTTGAAACGTTTGTATTGTAGATTACAAATACTATTTGAAAGTTTCATTTTCAAATAATAGTTTATGCTTTATAACAAGCTTACTTGAAATTAATGCTTCACGTAGCGTATAAGTTTAAAAAAAAGAAGCCTATCAATAGGCAATGTCAAGATTTAGACGTATTCGTTAGAACCGCACGGTTACAAAAATCAAGGATATTGTAATTTGAGACGAACATTATCACGCAAAATAGTTTTTTTTACTAAAATATCGAAAAATAGATATAAATAAATAGAATATTTGTATGTTTTCAATTAGACAACGAAATTTATGGCTCTATTTATTTCTCAAGCAACTCCTTTATGGTAAACTTAATCAGAGCGACCTCTAATTTTTGTAGTAGTGAGCTGTTTTTATGCATTAGGTTTACATGGTTGAAGGATACGTCAATGATTTTGAGTGGTGCGTTCGCATATCACTAAAGATGTGCGTAGAACTTGTATCAAGAAAATATTTTATCATTTTTTTTCTAATAAAGACGAAGCTTAAGTAAGAATATTTTTTTTAATGAAAAGAGTTAAATAAAATTACTTTTTGATACCATAGGCGTTACTGTATCATTTGATTTATAATCAATGTAAAATTCTCGTTCGGTTTTTGTAAAAAAAATATTTCTATATGTTAAAGAAAATTGCTATAAATATCACGTGAAATCTATATTTTGTACTACTAATCAATAAAAATGAATACCTTCAAGTATTCAAATAAGAAAAAAAACTTATTAAAGACAGGCAGAATGACTAGTCTGAAATATTCTCAATGGCTGCTGAATCTAGTTCGAAACGTCTTTCGTACACAGCTTATGACTAATCATCATAATAATGAAAACATTGAGTAATCACGCTTAACCTAGTTGATAGAACAAGAAATGAACAAAGAAAATTCGAATCTATACCATGGTAATATTCGAGATTTGACAGCATTCTAATACCATACACTGTCTTAACGATAAACTGATGTCTGATTAATTAACAAAGAGATACGGGTATTTGCTAGATACTCAAACATTATTCGAACACCAATGACTTGACTAGTGTGAAATGTCCTCAACAGCAATTAGAGAATATTCCAATGCAGCCATGGACATATCTATGAATGAAGAAAGAACTATAAAAACTATCGTCCACTTTAAAATCATACGAATACTCTTTTATATAATATCATTGAACTTGAAATATGCATTGTGATTCGTTTAATTCAAGAGTTAATATAGGTCGTACAAATTCATTTTAGTTTTAATCTTAAAAGAAATTAATTTAAAATAAAATAAAATAAATATATATATAAAAATTATTTTCTATTCAATTGAAATAATTATGAATGGGTTTTATACTTGATTCCTTTTATATTTATTAGTATTCACTAGAATTTTATGAGCAAGTTTCTTTTTTTTATAATCTAAAGTAGTCTTATTTAAGTTTCCGTAGTTAATTTTGTACTTGAATTAAGTTTTATGGGACTATATGAAAATTCGAAAAAAAACTTTCCCTAGATTTTAGAGAAACTTAATAAGTTTTAGAAGATTAAATGTATGTGAAAACATATTTGTAACTGTGATATCTTTGTATATATGACGAAAAGAGTCATTCGAAATTTTTCACTTATCCGAACTCTAATTTTTCAAAAAAAGAATCTTTGAACTTTCATCAACTATTTGGATCAGGGCATTTGTGCTACAACTTCTATGGAGATGCATCTTTTTTTAATTACGTTGAATTATAAAATGTAGGACGTGGTAGAACGTTCTGCTTGTGCTTCATCCACTTGTTGACTTTTCATTCTCTACTCGTTTAATGCACAAGACAGCATCTATGATGATTCTCTACTTTTTTATGTGCGTATACCTGACTGAAAGTATCTTAGTGGTAGAAAGAAAATAAATACGAGTTTTCTTGTAAATTTTATGACTTGTTTTTTTGCGTAATTTTTAGAAAGCTATGGCTAGTAGCAATACTATTGAATCGCTCATAGGAACATGGGATCATGTAAATATTACGAATAACTTGTATTATTCTCATCTCAACATAATATCGTGTTGCATTCTATTCATACAGGTTCGCAGTGAAAATTTGGACGACTTTTTGAAAGAGGTGGGTGTTCCTATGCTTATTCGTATGATGGCAACACGTTCGAATCCACGTGTAGTAATCAGTGAAAAAGATGGTGTCTGGACAATACGTACTGAAACAATAATAAAAACTCAAATAGCTACTTTTACTCCTGGTGTTGAATTTACAGATACCACTCCTGGTGGACAGCAAGTGCAGGTAAATTTTTTTGTCTCACATTTTTACTATGAAATGCTTGCATCTATATTGATTCTTCTTCTTTTCTAAAACCATTTTTTTAGACACTTATTGTTTTTGAAAATGGAACGTGGATTCAGAAAATAACTGATTCGAAAGTAAAGGAAACGGTTGTAAAACGTTTTGTTAATGATCAAGGACTACAACAAGTGGTAAGTGAGTGCTATTTTGAATCATGTTTTTAATAGTTCATTATAGGAAATGACTTGTGGTTCGGTCAAAGCATGTCGTTGGTTTAAGCGAGCGAACTAATAAATACAAACTGTAACCAATAAACAATCTTCTTGTTATTTATATTATTTTAATTCTCACAGAATTTCTTATTGAGACTCTTCTTATATTGATCTTTTTTATTTTGTAATAATGTAATTCATGTTTTAAATCTACCCCATTCCCACAAGTCAAGAATATACTCTCATGCTCTACGACCATGTCTACAGTTTTTAATTGCTATTCGCTTTGTTAGAGATGTCAAAAATATATTGTATTGTACTGTTAAAACAACAATTTAACAATGAACATTTGAGTTTGAGTGCGAACCTTGGTAAGAAGAGTATTCATAAGGTATGAGTACAGGTGAATGTCGATTTAAATGATCATTCAAATGCTCACACCCTGATTGGTCATGTTATTTATAAACGTAGATGTAGCGAATATTGATTGGGTAGACTATTGAATTTGAGAGAATGTGGGAGTAAAACATCAAAGAATAAATCAATCTTCTATCGAATAATCAACTGTATAAACTTTGATCCGTAAGATGGTTCATCAAATACACTTTTTCTTCTCAAAAAGTCAGTTTCTACTCGAAAAAATCAAGATACTCACTTGGCATAGCAGTACTGAATGAACTGCCCGTCTTCGACGTTGTATTCATAATAGAAGTGCTATTAAAGTTGTGAAATGTCCTTTCTAACAAGTATTGAGACAGTCTTATCATGAGAAAACTTCGTACTTAGATAACTTGTCTTGTTGAAGGCAATACTGCCTGTTTACTATAGTCTATCCAAAAAGTCCATGCGTATGACTGTTTGTTGAATAATTCAAGAACAGAAATAGTTAGAGACCTGCCGTTTTCACCAGTCGAAGGAAGTGATATGGGGACGTCTTTTTCTCCGATATGGTATACGATGAATTTATTTTGAAATCAATCATTTCCTCAAAATATTGGAAAATATGCGTGATAAGGGTTTATTATTTTGATGAGATTTTGATTTTAATATGTGATCTAGATAGAGGGACTTCAGATCTATAGCTTAAGATATAATATAAACGATTATCTTCACACCTTCTTATATTAAACAAATGCAATTCTTTATTGGCTCCCTCGAAAAATACGGATTTCTCTTGAATTTTCTTACTTTTTTGTTTAAAATTTCATATCAATGACAGAGTATTTTTGTACATTTTTTCGATCTTTTGAAAAAAGGGTTGATTTTAAAATGAATTCGTCATATACCACATCGAAGACAAAGACGTCCCCATATCACCTCCATCGACTGATGAAAACTGCAGGTCTCTAGCTGTTCGTGTTCTTGAGTTATTCAACAAACAGTCACACACACGAACTTTTTGGACAGACTATAGATAATGATCATGATGATGAAAATCTTGATTCTACTATAGAAAACCCATTGTGCTAATGGAGCATTTTCAAGAGCTTTTATAATAACAACGATGAAGTGAGACACAACACCATCGGGAAGGTGTGCTATTGAAAAAAAATTCAATAATTATGAAATGAAAATGAAAATAACAAAACTAAAACAGTAAGTAAACTATGTGCAGATAACATCATACAATAGTAAGACGAGATAGTAAAATAATTTGAGAAATTAACGGGAAAGGATGTTCGGATTTTTTTTGAAAAACTTTTTTTGTTAAATAAAAGTTTTTGGTTGAAATGATCTACTAAAAATAAACGAAAGAAAATATTATTCGAGTTTGTTCTTTTTTTATTTTGAAAAAAAAAACATCTAGTTGCCTTGCTAGTTTTTTACTTCATATATTTTATTTTTTCTGCTTTGTCAAAACTGAGGGTGTGGGTTGGTAAAGAGAAGATTGACACTCACACCCATACCCTACAGCATTATTCGTCTAAGACATGATTTAGTAAAATCTTTTGAGCATCTTAATGATCAACATCGATCGACAAATATTGTATAATAGAAGTCACTATTAGTGCTTTTCTTCTCTTTACGAACATATTTTGTACTGTTGCAATAGAAGTATTCGTATCACATATACAGCGAGAGTGAAGCAGAATTGATTACAATGATATTAACACAATCATATTGATAATCTTTTTTCTAGTAATGAATATTAACATATGTCAAGTTATGCTATTGTTTACTTATGAATGTAGTTTCCCACTTTAACTGTTGAAAATGACTCTGTTAAGTGAACGTTATTTCGATTTGAGATCTTTCAATTAAGAAATATGTAACACTATTCTACTTAACGATTCTTGAGTAAATACAAATGGTAATTATTGTATCGTCAGCCAAATTCATGAGTAATTTGATTAAAGACAAATTTTTCCATTAAAAGCATTTATATTTTGGTTACAACTCGATTTTCGACTTTCTAACATTATTATGTGTATTAGGTTTTATATATATACATAGATTGATTTTCAATCTATGTTTTTCATATAATTCATTTCATTATAAATATTGTATTCTTTTTGTATTACTTGTTTTTAATGATTACATGGTTAAGATAGCGAAGATCATTTGAGATATAGAAGGTTGATGATAATGGTGAAGTTGGAATCGATTGTTACCTAACAAAACAAAACATATATATGCATGTCGACTGATGAGAGAATTGTTCCAAGTTTCAAATCAATTTTCTATCGAGATGATCTTTATTTGATCAAAACTAGTGAGTAACAGACAAGTATAGAATAGTTTGATTTTCGGATCGTTATTATTTTGATATCGAAATTTTACGGAGTTTTTCAACAAACAGTTGTGATCCCCATCAACTCAAGTTAGACTTTTGATTCCACACTTTGCACGAAAACTTTTAGTTTTTCTGTTATTTCTTTTTAGAATTGTAAATATATCAACAGAATTTTTCTTTTATCAGTCAGATACTTTCGAATATTCGTTCAAAATGAATGTTGTCTTGGTCGAAAAACAACTTAACATCTCAAGAAGTTTCCTTGTAACCTATTGCATTGTGAACATATATGTATCCTAGATTAGATTAGTTTTCCAAAATAAAATTCGGCAGTTTTCAACTAATTCTCTTCATGATATGTGAGTTTTAAGATATAGACCTATTTCAATGGATAGTATATATTACATGCAGTTTTTGGAAGCTAATCTAGGTGAATTCTTTCTATGTGCAAATTTCGATAGCTTACGAGAAAACGTTCTCAGGCGATTAAAAGATTTTAATTCTATGCTTTGTTTAATAGTAGAGGAGCTTCTGAAGAGTTTATGCTGAAGTTAAGATTTGACTGATATATTGACTTTCTAGTGAATTCTTTCTATATTAATCAAATTTTTCGATAAAATCTGATTGTCGAGCTTCAACCTGAAAACTTTGCTTACATGAAGGCTTCAGGAAGCTAGCTTATGCACAAAATTTCAGAACTCAAGCAGTTTTTTATTGATTTCGTTTAAAACGTATACACTATAGAAGTTGCATTTCTTATACCCATTCAATCGCAAAGTTCTGAATTTCCATGCATAAGCTAACGTCACTGAGATCTTCATCTAGACACAGCTTTTAGGCCGAAACTTAACAAGAGAATTTTATTAAAAAAGTGGGTTTAGGGTGTGGGTGTGGGTGGGGCTTGGTGTGGGTGTACCAGTGAATACAAAACGAATACCCGCACCTAGAGGTGTTAGCCGATCATTTAATCGGCGGCGGCGGCGGAAAATTTTTAAGGCATCAGCGGCGGCGGCGAGGAGCTCTCGCCGAGGAGGTCATTTTCGGCGGCGGCGGCGACGACAAAATTTTTCCTATGTTATTTCACAGGATCTTTCGTAGATCCCTACCGTTAAGACAAACATTAAACGTTCTGTTCTCATAGAATTATAACGCTGTTTTCTTCTTAGCACGCTCATGTCTTTTTATGGAAAAATTTTTCCACTAGATGTAACTTTATTTTCATTAATTCAAAAAATTCACATTGTCCCATCATAAAATAACTTCAAACCATACAACAAGAACTCATGATATAAGCCAAAATGGCAATAATGTGACTATCCATCTAAAATACAAATTAAATTCAAACATGATAGCTTATGGCTGGCACTTTATCTTTACTTTACCAAATAAAGTAAAGTATTAGAACTTTACTTTACCCGATCAAGTAAAGTTAAATCCTTTACTTTACCCGTTAAAATAAAGTTAAATACGTTACCCAAAAAGTAAAGTAAAGTAAAGTGAAAAAAAATGAAGTTGTATGTTTTAAATTTTTTGGCAATTTCTTAGTTCAGGATCGTGTAGAAATAATCTTAGAACGTATCAAAGTTTTTTCAATATCGTTTCGTCTTAAGATTAGTGTGAAAAAAAAATAAGTAAAGCCGAAAAATATCGATTTTTTCTGGATACATAAAAAATATTGTTTGGTTAACTTTATCTCACTTTATTTTCCACATTCGAACTATAGTATTTTATTTTACTCTACTTTACTTTACTTTACTTTTTCAAAGTAAAATAAAGATAATGTGCCATCCCTATGCTAGCTCGAATTAGATCATAAGTGAAACTAACACTGAAATTAGAATTTGAATCCAAATTCAAATCGATACTTTTCTGTGAGTGGAGAAAAAGAGCAAGATTTGTTTTCATTGATTATTTGAATTCAAATTGAAACTAAATATTTTTCTTTTTTCTAAACTGGTAGGAGAGTGTCGATTGGAATTCGAATTCGAATCGTAATGTTAGTTGCATCTATATTCGAACTCAATCTAGACAGTTAGTCGAAACTGCATACTGGATAAGTCAAAAATCGCGAAACGAAGGAAATAATAGCGATGAATCTATTGTGCATGAAGGAATAATGCAAATGAAAACCTAATAAATATGGTAGCGTCACAAAATCACAAGGAGACATATTTTCTTATCAGCTCGGTTTTCAGACTATATGTCATCCAAGAAAAAATACACTAATTCCTATTTTTTAAAAGTTCTGTTGGTTTCAGCAATCTCTAATTGTCACATAGGTCAAACTTGAGATATTACTGATTATTATCAACAAGTGATAATCTAGAAAAGAGAAAGCTTGAACTGTGACCCTTCACTCGAACGGCGGCGGCGGCGGCGGCGGCGGAAAAGTTCCCGCCGAGACGTTCTATTCGGCGGCGGCGAAAAATCGGCGGCTAACACCTCTACCCGCACCTCTACCCGCACCCTAACCCACATACAACCTACACCCACACCCACCCCACACCCACATCCTCACACACCCACCCCACACCCACATCCTCACACACCCACACCCACCCCATACCCACATCCTCACACACCCACATTTCAGGATAAGTTATGGCGCTAGGCATGGTAGATTTATTTAAGTAGTGCCCAATCCATCTGAATCAGTAATTTTTAACACGATACAATTAGTAGTGGAAACGGATAGTGTCATATCAGTGCATGAGAACTGCGAGGATAAAACCGCAAAGCCAATACCATGTGTGCTGAATAAGTACATTTCTTGCACTTGCAGATCCCGGCTTTTGAGAATCTGCTTTTACCAATTCAGCAAACGCCTGCCATGCGACGAGATTACTTCGGAAAGATTGGTGCATTGCACTTATACTTGAGTCGTTTGTAATCAGTACGTCATACACACATTGTCGTTGAGCATGTGTCTGCGCACCGCCACAACTAGTCTGTGCAACTTGAAAACGGCTGGTATTCTGATATTTTTCGAAGACTTCTTCATGAAACATCGGTCGATAGGTTGAATCTTGATGTTTTTCATGGCTATCTGTCGAAACATAGTAAAAGAGAGATGTATTTGTCGTCGTGCGCCACGATTCACCATAGAAGAAGAGAACCTTGTCATTACCATCTGTTGCTGATAAACGTGTACCGTTTGGATATACGAGGCTCTCTAGATCGCCCAGCAAACCTTGAGTTTTTGAATTGAGTAAAGAATGTGGTACAATGGCGAATAGATCCAGAAAATCAAAAGCTGGACGCAACTGAACTTGAAATTGAACATTATTGTCAGAATAAGAAATTACAAAAGATGTTGTATGAGTTTGACGAATGGTCAAATGCTTGTCGTTAGTGTAAATAACATTAAAGAACGGCGAGAGCTCTTCATCAAATGGCTCGAGTCCAAGCAATTCGGAATTAATTCGAATTTCGAGTAGATGCAGCGATCTCAGTAATTCGAATTGTACACGCGGCTGATTACCGTTTTGTATAGCGAAAGCTGTAATGCTTGTTGCTTTGTCTTCAGTATTAGGTAAATTGCCGATGGGTTCTAATCGGACTTGTACTTCAAGATTAATAGCAGATACTTTCAATAGTGTGTACTCTCCATGACCATTAAATGTATATGAACCACCATGGAGGGTAGAAAAGTGCGGATCACCATTGCCGCCTAAGGGTACTGGCCAAATATTTTCGCATTTTCCGGCTGGTCTTTTCTCATGGTATGCTTTGCATGTAGCTTCAGTGGCTTTGCTACGCGTGCAACAGGACTCGTACGACATGACATCGGAGAAATAATGAGCCAACGTTGGTAAATAGGTTGACGGTGAGTGCCAAACAAATGTCGGCATATATGCATCGAGCGTTCCGGCACCTTTCTTCGGATCAGTAATCCATACACCCTGTGTGTCGTAGCAGCATTGAGCACCTGCAGGTGTCGTATCGGATTTCTTTCGATAGCAGCCTTTGGCACCCTTGTGATATGAGCACGTTTCGCTTGCTGGCTTGCTTCCATCACATTTAGGGTCAGCTGTATAACCCATAAAATCATTGTTCCATGTTGTCTGTACTCGGCACGGACATGGAGGAATCTGATTAATATAGAAAGATGCATCTGGCTGAAAGCGGAGCCAAACTGAACAATAATTATCACGGATGAACTTCTGTGCTTTATAAATACGGAAGCCCCACTTGATTAACGGCACAGTAAACCGAGCCGATTGTGCCGCTGAAACAACGTCAAAAGTAATACCTAATGAGTGAACACGATCTTCGGGTTCACCAATGGTAGGAATTATGGAATCATAACGAATTGTTATATTACCAATGTATGACAGGTTAACATTTGTCAGACCAAGTTCAACATGCCGCTTAAGAGGATTGTAGAGTGTTCCATTGTTTTCATCCTGTTGGGCTGCATAGTCATAGACGCTAATATGAAACAAGTATTTGTTTGTGATGGCATTGGAACGAAACCTCATCGTGAACTCATCATTATCATTGTTCGCTTCGGTTAATTGAGTCAGTTCAGCGTAGTTACTTAATAAAAGTTCAGCATTATCCTCAGGTACAAATGTTACGAAATCAGTGCCAGCTATAGGATGATTATCGTTGTTAGCAAACAATCGAATTTGAATTGTACCGCCAAATACCATTGGCATTATGCAAGTAATATAGAGTGGAGCATACAATTGACAGTCCGTGAGGAGTTGCCCATCGATTTCAACCTGATATGATGTTTCATTGAAACATATACCGTGCAATCGAAGTTCATAACCGCCGTACAGTGATCCACGAGTTGGAGTACTGAGGAAACCACCCTTAGTCTCACATTCAACATTGCTGATATTGCCGGTGGTATGAAAGACATATTGACCTGGTACTCCGATGTTCGACATGTTCACAATTTTAACCACATCGGGAGAGAATGATAGATCGAGAGTAAAATAATTGATTTGATCACCGGCATTAAAACCAACCTGTGGATATCCGCCCCACATTCCATCTGCCCATTCCAATTGATAGTAGGTAAATAATACAAAGGAGTAAAGCCCATTTGTGGTCAAAATAGCTTGATAAGTGTTTCTTCCAGGATAACCATAGTGTCCAGGCACGCGATACCACGTGGCGACAAAAGCCCAAAGCATCGGGTGCACTGCTAAATTGGGAAAACCAGTGCGAACCATCGAGGAGATTCGAATCAATATATCTGTGCCTGCTGTATTTATCTCTCGATAGAAAATATAACTTGTTCGATCTTGAGAGATGTCCGTGTCGGCCCAGTAGGGTGCCACACATACAAATTCTGGTATTGGGAATTTTCCTGGTGATGCATGGGGTACAACGTATGAGCGATTACCAAAAAGGATCAGGCCATGACTTGAGAGTTTGATTTCATCATAATACTGATTAAAGTAAGGAAATCGAGAACTGATCATTATGGACGAAGTCATTGCGTCGAGATCACGATTAGTTACTGTGTCGCCTTTGTCAAGGCCGAACGGAATAAAGTTTGGAATAGTTGGCATAGTCCTTGAGGTAGAAGATTGACCAAGTACGGTCAGCATGGGCAAAAATAGTATACACCACAACATTTCGTTTTTTCTAGTTGACGAATATATAAGCGATATCTAAACACTAAAATTAAAATTAAA